TAACATGAAAACACAAATGCTTAAAGATATATGCACCCCTATGTTCATTGCAGCATTATTCACAATAGCCAAGACTTAGAAGCAACCTAAGTGACCATCAAGGAACAAATGGATAAAGAAGACGTGGTATACACACACAATGGAATACTACTCAGCTATAAAAAAAGATGAAATCTTGCCATTTGCGACAAGATAGATGGACCTTGAGGGTATTATACCAAGTGAAATAAGTCAGACAGAGAAAGTCAAATACCGTATGATCTCACTCATAAATAGAAGATAAAAACAACAAAAACAACAAACAAACACATAGATACACAGTTTAGATTGGTAATTACCAGAGGGGAAGTGGGAAAGGAGGAGGGCAAAAGGGGTGACTGGGTACATGTGTATGGTGATGGATGGTAACTAGTCTTTGGGTGGTGAACATCATGTAGTCTACACAGAAATCGAAATATAATGATGTACACCTGAAATCTATATAATGTTATAAACCAACGTTACCTCAATAAAAAAAAAGATTATTTAACCTACTTAAGAAAAATATTCCTATTTGGCAGGCTTCTTCAACATATGGTTTGTTAATGACAAATTCACAATATCTCCTTCTTGAAGTAAAAACACTCTAATCATCAATATTTTCTTAATATATACTTTGTACACATTAACGTAACAAAACCGGACATTACAATATTCCAAATTCATCTTCCCCTATATATTTGTGATATTTTCCTATTTATTGTGAAATTTTCCTACATTATTTTAGGGAGCTGGTCTCATTATGGTACTTAGAAATAACATGTAGTATAACGTTGCAGTAAACAAGTCTTTCACTTGAACCTGAAAGTTGTGTATTCTCTACGCTGGTTCTGCCATAAATATGTTGATTCACTGTGATCTTAAGAAAAATTAGTTGGCATTAAGTTTCTCAATTTGAAAGAATATGAAACGTTTAGGGCAAATAAATGCTATTTTCTTCACAAATGAGAGACTATACAAATGAATTATTAAATTTAAAAAATCATAGAAGCTGAATCAGTCATTCTTCAGATTGGAAAGCATCACACTTTCCCTAAAAGTAGCTATTTGAGTGCTTTTTAAAAGTCATTCATTACTACTGTTTTTCAATTCCACTAAAGGTGGATCATGAGGGAAAAAGCTCAAAATATAACAGAGGGATTCGAAGTAAACATCAAGAAAGACTTCTGGCTAGAGTAAGGATGATGAAACATGGAGATAAGTCACTAGGTGAAGGCTAAAAATCTCCATGATTAAGGCAGAAATCCATCTTTCTAAAATAGGTTAGATTTTCCTGATAGTACAGTGTGAATTTTACCAAGTGACCTATCTCTTAAAGCCCCTTCCAAAACTATCATGTGTGCTCATGTTTTAGAAACTTGATAAAATTGCTTGGTTTGTAGTGAGGACTCTAAACTGTCCAGAAGAAGCGTGGGAAAATGTTTACCTAGGTGGGTCAGCACTGTTATGAACAGGCTCTACTGGACAAATGTAACATTCTCACCAGTCAAGGAAAAGCTACTACAAAAAAGTGCTGATATCTGTTCTCATATTGAAATTCATATAGTGAAGAAATAGAAGAAATTTGAAAAGTTACAATAGCACCTGATTTAGTATAATCCATGATTGTTATTTAAAATTAAGACATGCTAGTATTTGTGATTCTTACGCATATTAGTGTGGAGGTTTTATGTTGCTGGGTTAAAAAATAAAAGTCTCATCTGTGGCAATGTAAGCTCTTATCTGCCACATACCCATTAACAAGCAGGGGAAGCTACTTTCTGCAGGTGTGCTAACTAACGCAGCGTAATTATAAAAATTAAGGGCTCATCTTAAACTAAAGTTGACAATGAATCAATGATTCCATTGGTTGCTTTAAAATTAGATCAGGCTAAACTTTTTTGGAATTTGAATAAATATTTTCATAAAGAGAAGCAGTGATACTAAATAATATCAAAAAAGGAACCATTAGTTTGTGATGAAGGAAAGACTGCCACCTACTGAACGGATACAGCATTTTTCAGAAGGTTTTCCCTAGATGGGACAAGCAAGCCTCAATTTCAATGGATTCCTAACTACAATAAAGCCTGTTTTAAAAGCATACAATACAAAGGACAAATATTGTATGATTCCACTTACATGAGATACCTGGAATACTCAATGTCATAGAGACAGAAAGTAGAAGAGTAACCCCCCAGGGCCTGGGGATGGGGTAAACAAGAAGTTAGTGTTTAGTGGGTACAGTTACAGCTGAAATGATGAAAAAGTTCTAGAGATGGATAATGGTGATGGCTGCACAACAATGTGAATGCACTTAATGCCACTGAACTATACACCTAAAAATGGTTAAAATGGTAAATTTAATGTTGTATATATTTTACCACAATTAGAACAAAAAAGCAGCATACAATATACCAAGGTCGTCTTTGGTCTGAAATGTATTGCTGACTAGGAAAAGTGTTAAATATTAGTATTTACATTAATTTTTAATTTTTTTTTTTTTGAGGAAGATCAGCCCTGAGCTAACATCTATTGTTAACCCTCTTCCTTTTTTTTCTCCAAAGCCCCAGCAGATAGTTGTATGTCATAGTTGCACACCCTTGTAGTTGCCGGGTGTGGGACGCGGCCTCAGCATGGCCGGAGAAGCGGTGCGTCGGTGCGCGCCCGGGATCCGAACCCGGGCCGCCAGCAGCGGAGCGTGCGCACTTAACCACTAAGCCACGGGGCCGGCCCCACTAATTCTTTTAAAATATGGACTTTTAAAAAATTTAATGGGATATGTTTATCTTATTTGTATATTTCATTTTTTTTCCTAAAATTAATGGGTAATATACTTACAAGGTTAAAAAATTCAAAGCAATACAAAAAGGTATATACTGAAAAATCTCATTCCCATCCCTGTGCTAATCCACCCTGTTCTTTCTTGTCCTCAATAGGCAACCATTTTTTAATATTTATCTCCTAGTGTTTCATTTTGCAAATATTGGCAAACATAAATATATATTACTTTTTCTCTATCACAAAAAGTTGCTACACATTGTTTTGCATCTTGCTTTTTTTCCATAACAGGACACAGAGAACTTCCTTATTCTTCTTTTTACCATTAGTTGTATAGTATTCAATTTGGTGGATTCATCAGGGTTTATTTAACCAATCTTCTAATGCTGGTGCTAAATAATCTAATTCAATCTTTTGGTGCTAAGTAAACAATGCTGCAAAACACAACTTGTATATATGTCATTTCATATTAATACATGGGTTATAGCAGGGATTCCTAGAAGTAGGACCGACGCGTCAAAGGGTAAATGCATCTGTAATATTGATAGATAATTACCAGATTCCCTTCCATAGGAGTTGTGCCATTTACTTTTATATTTTTGCCAGATGGTATCTCAGTGTCATTTTAATTTGTTTTTTTCCTGCTTCGAGATTGAGCATCTTTTCATATATTAAAGAAGCATTCATTTTTTTTCTGTGACCATCCACATGTTCTGCCCATTTTCAACTGAATTTTTACCTTTCTCTAGGAGCTCTTTAAATGTTAGGGAGATTAGTCCTTTCTCTGTGATACGAGTTGGAAATCTTTTTTCCAAGTTTGTCATTTGTGTTTTGACTTTGCTATGATGTTTATTTAGCCATGCAGAAGTTTTTCATGTTTACAGTCTTATCAATCTTTTCTTTTATGGCTCCTAGACTTTAAGTCATAGTTAAAAAGGCTGTCCCACTCCAAGAATAAAAAGAAATTCATCCACCTTTTCTTCTAGAATTTATATGGTTTAATTTTTTAATACATAAATCTCAGATCCATTTGGAGTTTATCCTGTGTATATAGTATAATACTTGAATCCAACTATTTTTTAAATGGGTACCCAGTTTTTCTAACATTTATTAAAAAGTTCATCTTTACCCGAGTCTTTAAATTAAACATTTCCTTATACTTTCCTGTACTATTTCCTTACTCTTTCTTGTACCATCCCTACCCTCAGCCTCCACCTACCCTTCTAAGTTCAACCGAAATTCCATCTTTCCTGAAAATTGAAGTGTTCTCTTATTTTTTAAAACACTGACTAAATAGGCAATAAGACACTGTACAAATATAAGAGAATAAAAAACTATAATTTCAAAAAAGGATAGTACAAAAAAGGAAGATTAAAACTATTCAATTCTGGGCCGGCCCGGTGGCTTAGCGGTTGGGTGCGCGCTCCACTGCTGGCGGCCCAGGTTCGGATCCCGGGCGCGCACCGACGCACCGCTTCTCCAGCCACACTGAGGCCGTGTCCCACATACAGCAACTAGAAGGATGTGCAGCTATGACATACAACTATCTACTGGGGCTTTGGGGGGGAAATAAGTAAATAAATAAAATCTTTAAAAAAAAAATTCTATTCTATTTGATAATCTTTAACAACACTCTTTTTAGATTCATTTTCAAATCTCTACCAACCACAGAACAAGGTTTAAAACATTAAATGTTTGTAATAACTGAAAAAAATACCAACAGTCTAAAAGTGCACCTATAGAGGGCTAAGTAAATAAAATGTGGTTCATCCACAAAGGGGAATATTACACAGAAGTTAGGAAGAATGAGACAGATTCAGATGTAATGATCTGGAATGCTGTCTGAGGGACTTTGTAAATGGGATTAAGGGAGAAGGACTGTCCTATTTAATGGGAGAAAAAATGTTTGTAAATGCATAGAAAAATCCTGGAAGAACAGAAAGTGTTAAGTGGTTGTCTCTCTGGAGACTGGGACCTGGTGTGGGAGAGAATAGGTGAAAGGAAAAGGAATTTTACTTCTCATTTTATAACCTTTTGAAGTGTGAAAATTTTTTTTTAAATTATCACATATAACTTTCATACCTAGAAGAATAAACCTAAATTTAATGCTAAATACTGAGGATCTAAATGGGTAAACATATTTACATAAACATAAAAAAAGGAGCAAAGAGAGGAAAAAACATGATCATGTGCCCAGAAGTTACCTGAACAATGGTGAATCCAGATCTGAGAATAATATCTTGTATCTCCTCCTCTTTGTCAATAATATCTGGTTTGATAATGGCCAGAGTTTTTTCTACATATATCTGAGGTGGGGGCATTGATATCTCCATCCTGGCTTTTCAGGATACAATTTAAGAGATTCTTGACAGGTGTCAACTGCAATGACATGCATTCCCCACCCCAAATTTAATGTAATTGTGATTAAGAACAGCATTAGGTGCTTGCTTTTATTAATTTATAAAGTTAGAAATTGCGTATCTTTTTCTATAAACGGTGTCTCAGGAATACGATTTCTACTTCGCGTCCAAATCGTGCCTTGGGTTTTCCTAAGCGCTTTCGAGGTGGAGAGGTCAAGGGACAATCCGAAGGCCTGGGACTAGCGTAGACTCTCAGGGCAGCAACAACAGACTGAGTCGGCAACTCCTCCTGCATTCCAGCAGCAGGTGAGCGGCAGCCTGTCCTACTCCGCCCAACCCAGCCCGACACAGCCCCGCCCGCCCAGCAGTAGGGTCAGGCCTGCTTGGAAAGGAGAATCTCTACGTCCCCTGGGCGTCTCTGGGCTGCACCCGCAGATTCCAAGTCCGACCCTTGTCTGGGGACTCACCTTACCACCTGCTCCTCTGGTGCCACCACAACTGGTTGCTAGGAGACCCGAGGCCCTGCTTAGGTACGGTGGCTGCACAGGGCCAATCCCAGCAGAGTGTTTCACAGGCTCTGGCCGGTTCCTTATAACCAAGACAGGGAGCCAGCCACAGGCGTTTTTATCCCCCGTGCACTAGACATTTTCTAACATTTTTCTCATAATTTATCTTATTTCATCCTCCTAGACATTTGAAGGACACTTCAATTATCTGCATTTTACAAATGGTGAGGCAACTCACAGACACTATCCCCTCATCCTACCCCATCCCCTTCCAGACAGTGTATGGAAAAAAACCCAGGTCAAATACCTTACTCATTTCACCAGATGATACTGTCCCCTCTATTCCGATCTTCTGTAATCATTAAGAAGCAATCTTTGACTTGTGAAATAACATTTATTTATAGAACAGTAATAAGAGGTTTAATCTAGTTACCTCTAAATTAAACCTATGGAACAAAGATGTGGGCAACATTTACGGCACAACCCAAAATCTCAGCTTTCCCCATTTTCTATATATTATGAACACAGGCACCTTTGACTCCATGATTGTGAGTTAAGGCATTATTCTTATTAGAAAAGACAACTGAAAAGTGGTAAACAAGTACTGGGAGCCTCTGTGGGTCAGAGTCTCAATGAGAGGTCCGAATTCCAGAAAAGCTCAGGATAGCAGCTCCAGGTTAATAAAACAGGTTTTTCATCATCCATGGAGTTGGCTGGTTCTCATTCCAGACTATTTAAGTCTCTTCTTTTGTCTAACCAAATACTCAGCACCTACAGGGTCAAGGCAGACAGCAAGCTATGAATCTTTATGCAATTTTATTTTTCTGCAAAGAGATTTGACTATGTTTCTTTCAAGTATGATGCTGCCCAGAAAAGAAACCCTCAAATGCCTTCTTCTGGCTACCATGTCTTATCCCCTATAGATGAGACAGTATGAACATACATTAATATCAACAGGTATAGCAACCAAAAAACAGACAGTGACTCCAGCCTCTAGTTTGCATGTTTAGCCCTCCGACTTGAAGCTCTGGAAGCAGGAGCTCCTGTTACTTATCTATCCCTAGCTCTCTTGAGAGCTCTTCACTGCTGCCTGCTTTCCTAGACTACTTTACTTCACTATTGATTAAAGTTGGTCCTGCAGAGGCTCAGGGTTTTCCAGCAAGTACAAGGTCAATCCTTCAGGGCCTTGCATCACCTCTAAACATAAACTCTGGGAACACAAGGCCACTTCAACATCACCCTTATTCTCACAGACCTCCTAAAATCAGATTCCAGAGGCTACTCTCCTTTTTCTTGCAGCTCTCTACATACAGTACCTGAATCTGCTCCAAAACTTCTCGCTGCATCTCCACAGCCATATGGTACACATGATGATCAGAGTCATTGTACATCACAGCATTTTGGAACATCAGCATCAGGTCCCTCTGAAACTGAGCCATGGTGCGAATCCGTCCCTTAGACAGATTCCTCTTCAGGCTGGTTAAGTCCATGGGTCTACAGGTGGCGAAGAGAAACCAGAGGAAATCCAACCTTCATGTGGAACATGTGGTGACCTAACATATTCTCTTGGAGAACTAACCAGCTCTTAATGAAAACAGTATAAAGATAAGAATCCCCATAAGATAATAAAATAGCAACAGCAGCTAACATTTGACTGTGCATAAGAGGCCAAGCGTGATGCTAGGTACTTTTCTAATTGAATTCACTCGATACTCTCAATAAACCTATAAGGTAGATACCATTATCATCTCCAACTGGCAATGAGGAAACTGAGATCTAAAGAGGTTAAGTACTTGCCCAAAGTCACACAGCCTGGGTTTCAATTCAGAGGCAGCCTGACTCCAGAGCCCACAGGCCCAGCCACTACACTCTACTATTGTAGGAGGAGTGCTGGCCCAAGGTACCAAAGTTGTAAAGACCTCCAATGATCACTGTGTCACATGGTCGTTACTGACTGATTGTTTATAATGCATAGTCATATACTAGGTATTTAATCTACTTTTCTTAATTCATAATCAAAAGCTAAGAATTGTTTCCTCTTTCATGGAGATGAAAAGAGTGAGAATCAAGTGAATATTAAGATACATAATTATTTAATGAGATACAGAAAGTGGGTATATAAGAGAAAGCACAGCAGTGTAGAAAGAGGGCTTTTCTGGGAAACTGGGAGGTAAGAATCCGGGGTTTAGTTCAAGCTCTGCTATTCACTATTGATCACAGGCAAGTCATGACCACCTCTGAGCCTTAGTTTCCTCATCTAGAGAATAAAGGAGTCTGTCTCCAAAGGTCCTTTCCTGATCTTTTATAGTCTAATAACACACTGGTTTACGGAAGCATTTTAGATGAACTACCCCATAAAAATCCAAAATACTGCAATCAACCAATGTTTGTAACATCCATTTGGATTACCATCTTTGCCTTAGCATACCTATAACTGCCTGAATAAATAGTGTTCCTTTTAAAGTTTTGTTCCAAAAGAACAGTGTCAAAAACTACCAAAGGTTAATGTAAGATTATAATGAATGGATCATTTTACTTAAAAGTCAATACTGAAAAAAAAAAAGCCTATATTATCCTTTTGTTCCCCGCATTCCTTCTCAAAGGAAGACTGAGCTCACCATAACTTTACAAACTTGTTCGGCTGGAAAATATATCTTGAGTTTGTAAGTAATGTAAATGAAATAAGGAAATAATCTAATAGATGGGAAATACAGTATGAAAAGACAGATATAAAAGCAACCAACCTTTCTTTCTTTCTTTTTTTTTTTTTTGTGAAGAAGATCAGCCCTGAGCTAACATCAATGCCAATCCTCTTTTTGCTTAGGAAGATCGGCCCTCAGCTAACATCTATTGCCAATTCTCCTCCTATTTTTTTTTCCCCCCTTTTTCTCCCCAAAGCCCCAGTAGATAGTTGTATGTCATAGTTGCACATCCTTCTAGTTGCTGTATGTGGGACACGGCCTCAGCATGGCCGGACAAGCAGTGCGTCCGTGCATGCCCGGGATCCAAAGCCGGGCCGCCAGTAGCGGAGCGCGAGCACTTAACCGCTAAGCCACGGGGCCGGCCCACAACCAACCTTTCTTGACCGCTTTTCCACTGACCTTTTCACCACATCCTTGTATCCTGGGGCCTGCCTTTCTGACACAGGCTTCAGAAAGGGACTGCTGAACCTGTTAAAGGACAAACATCAAGAGAATGAAGAAACTCTGGAAAGTCACTCTAAATGAGAAGAGTGGCTGTGAATGCCACAAATGGCTTGGAGACCTACCTGTGGCTGGCAATCATCTTCCAGACTGGCAGGAGAGTCTTCTTAAATAGCAAGTGATCCTGAACAGGGTCACTCTGGCCTAGATCAGACCTATGGGATGAAACAGGACAGAAAAGAAACAGTAACTTCACATATGGTATTCTGTCTCCCCCAGTGGGTAATGAAGTTAACACCTAGTGCTCCTAGTTAATTCTATAAATATTCTTATTGGTCACTACTACCCAATGAAGTGGTTACATCATCAAGTATACTACAAACCTACAAATGCCTGTGCCTCTTGGACTCTTGCTGATTTGCTCTTCAGCACCTGTGACTCTAAAGAACTGGTCTATGAAAGTGATCTTTGTTCACTGATGTTTCACAAGTGCTTGGCACATAGTAGGTGCTCAATTAAGTATCTGATAAATGAACCTGATCCTGTTTTTATGCAGAAATGTGCCACATTAATAAGTATTTCTCCCATATTTCCAGAGAAGGAAATACTTGATTTCACATTCCAAAGAATTCTCTTATGTTTCATCTGAATGCTACATGATTTAAATATTTTTCCTTTTCACTCTCCCCTATACAGTAATCTTTAAAATACCTAAGAAAAATCATTTCTCCTCAGGGACCTTCCTTCTCTGGGCTAATTTATTTAGTTTTTCTTTGGAGATGCAATGTTTTATTTCATTTTATAATTTTCCCAGTTGGCAAGTTTTCTGTTTACTCCAAAGTTAAACATCATGTTTATATACTTTGTACACTATATAGTCCCACTTTATACACTGCATTATGCTCTCTAAATGAGTTCTCTTCACACCTAACGTTTCACACCCTCATTCCGCTTTATGTACCATATTGTGTGTGTTCATTTGAGCACAATTCACATCTCATTTTATTTTTATCCAATTTGAGCAACTCCACATAACTATTCATTTTCACGATGCAATATCTCACCTCATCCAAATTACATACCACAAAAATCAGCATACCCTTAAACCCAGAACCCTATATAAACAAGGCATTTAAAGCCCAAAATAAACATCTTCCTTTTTATCTGGTCACACAGAATGAACAATAGGTCCTTGATACTGGTGCAATTTTGTTCATACACCAATGCAACAGATATTTAGTAAGTTTCCATTATGTGAAAGGTGCTGCGCTAGGTTCTGTAACCTCATAATCAATCACCTTTGCAATATTTTAAGAAACAGTCCTTTGCTTACCTTTATCTCCATGTATTTGGAAATGCATGCCAAGCAACTACAAGGAAAAGTGTGGGAGAGGAAAGGACCTACAGACTTAGAGTGGTGCTCCAAAGGCTCTACTTCTCTTTACTCCTGAGAGTCAATACAGTCTAAGGGAGAAGGCAGAAAGGAGGGGTCTGGGGAACATCTATCTTTCAAATTAGTTTTAAGCTTCCCAAATGATAACACAAGAACTCAGCTTTCTATCTCCCCTTAAACTATCTGGCCAAGCAGACTCAATAACTAATATCTACTGCATTCTAATAAAGATTTCACGTTTAATCTAAATTCTAAGATAAGAGTGTGGAGTTTGCC